CAAAGGACTTGTCTCCACGTTCCACAGTGGGTATCGAATCCCCGACGTAAATACGTAGCGGGACTCCTTACTTCGCGACTTTAGAGCAGACCCTCTTACCACGCGGGCAATAAACCTCTCGTACTTTCTAACCCTATTGTACTTTTTCTAAACATATAAATTAGTCGCCACGTGGCTCGGTGGTAAGAGTCGCGTAGTAAGGAGTTGATCCTTACGTCGCGGGATCGACTCCCACTAGGGTCCAGTGTCGCAGTAGGTGATAGCACGAAAAAGATCCCTCACTGCTCAATGGCCCTGAGTGCCGTCAAAAATTGCAACTCTCCGCCGGTGTAACGTTCCAATTTTGACATACAGACATATTCAAAATTGACCCGAGGGTCATTTTTCAACGTTGAATAGTGAGACCAAAATGTTGAATTTAGACCACTAGTCCGTTGAAAACTGAGCCGGGTCGTGGAATTTTGATCACGAAACCGGTTCAAAATTTCCTAACAGTATAAAAACACATATTTATGACTTGGTTTTCACAACTGTGATTTAATTCATAGGCGTCGGGAAACGCGGGGAGGGAGGTTAGGCTCCCGAGCTTACCCCTTTTTTTTAAAGATAGACATAATATAGGCATTGAACAATTTGAAATTGGGTTAGTCTGCTTTCAACAGGCACGTTACAGTGTAGTAAAAAAAAGAAGAGATGTGTTAGCCTTTTAAAAAAAAAAATTCTGGAAATGTCCCACTAGGATTTTACGGGTTTGAACTACTTAGTTCTGGACAATGGACATCCTGTTTCTTGTCAATTTTTTTTTCAGATTTGAATTTTTCTTTCTTCTTACTCAAATTTAGCCTCCTCCCCCCGCACTTTCAAATTGACTATTTCTTTACACAAATGTATCAATGCACACTAAATTGTGTAATTCAGAAAAATTTCTTAGATTTCAAAGTTACATGTAGCTTAATATTGCAATATTTCGTTTAATATTTATTTAAAAAGAAGTACATTTGTATTTGTTACACCTGGTTATTCTCTAAACATAGTTAAACAATATACAATTTAGTTCATAAATTTGTTTATTTAAATTTTTTTTGCTAACAACACTTCATTTATTTTATCTTAAAATTCCTTAATATCTTTTTGGAAAATGGTGAGAGTTAACACATGATGCACGTGCTTATTTAGTTATACACAACATTAATAACTTCTCTGATAATGTCCAACTTGAATTCTCAACGGATTTTTTTCAAAATAAAAGGTTTTCGATCTTTTCTTCTCAAAGTCAAAGAAATATTCAAGTTTACTATTTTCAAAATTAATAAGCATATTTATTTTGTCGCCAGAAGGATGTGAAAGGGGGGGGTGGGGGGTATCTCCCCCTTTTGGGATTAAATACTTATATATTTGAAGAATGTTTTTTTTTTTAATTTTTTTTTTTTTTTTTTGTTTTTTTTGTTTTTGTGCGCCATTTGTTACTGGGCTGTTTTCTACCACATTTTTGTAGATTTTTATAAATCAAAAAATGGTTGCCTTAGATAACAACCCAAACTTCCAGCGTTATTTAATATTTGTAATTACATATGCAAATTATAAACATTGACCTGCTTCCCTTACACGCAAACACAGAATAGTGTGATTTTTAAACCGCCTTCCATCCAATTAGAGACATAGTTTGGTTTTCAACATTGCGCTAGTTTCCCAAAGCCATTTTTTGTTTGCTTGAATGTTTATTGCGTTTCGTTTATTAATTTTGTTTATTTTTTTTTTACAATATTTCAGAGGGTTCTACACATCGCAAAGCAATAATGACTTAAAAACTTTAATATCTCTCTCTCTCTCTCTATTGCTGAGGATCTCGCTTTTTAGTTGTTTAGATCAAAAGAAGTTGCAGAGACGAGGTTTTATATATATATATAAAAAAAGTGGTGGGTATATCGCGTGACAAGCCCATCCCAAATTTTAACTCGGGGATTTCATTCTCAAGGTTTGCTCCGAAAACGGTCATTTTTAGGCCTTATCTATTTTCGTTACATATTTTTTTTCATGGCGTGCTGACATTTAAGTTTTTTTCAAAATTTCACCATTGTTGTTTAAAGTTTAACATTAAAACTTACATGGTAATCCTGTTGATATATTGATCTTTTAAAAAATATAACCTTCATTGGATTCACTTTGTACCACATGTGTTTCAGAGCTAATTTTTAGGCTTTTAATTTTGTTAATTTTATACTGAATTTGCCAGCACCTAGATGGGATGTTCTTACCACCTGATGCACTTTAAGGTTTTGACGACATAAGGTAAAATTTCACAAAAAATTATTTTTAAATAGCTCCAAAACTATTGAGGTATAAATTTAAAACTTTTACAGTTTATAAATTTTTTATTGATTAACTTATAGAAAGTATCACTTGATAAAAAACCATACTTGGAAAAAATATTAAACAAGAAAAATTCTTTTTTTGCATATATTTTAAAAAAAAACTACTTAATTAATATAGTGTAATATTGTGAAAACCATTATTGCAGAAACAAAATAATTTTATCAATGAAGGGCAAGTTGGACTTAGTACAGCCTTTTTAAAGTTGTTTTCCTGTCTAAAATTGTCCAAATGTTAAGACTTGAAAGTTTAACATGTATTATTGCAAATTTTGCGATCTATGTTGCCGATATTCGTCATTATACATATTTTAACGAAAGTGTGGTGCGCAGTCAATTAAGGAAACGTCATTTTCACAGTCGTTTTCACGGGCATTGCATGAGAAAATATATTATTTCTGTTATGTACTTCAAATATTTCCGAAATCTAAATACATAATAATAGAACAATTTAAAGGTACATTTGAGAAAATTGTTGAAAAATATCGCGAATTTTAGAAAATCAATGAGTTAAAGTTTTGAATCTGCATGCTTTTGCTTAAGTTTTTTTGTCGTGCGCCGTTTCTATCAACGATATCAACATGCCGATAATTTTATAAATTTTTTTAAAATTTTGAAATTTTGCCACAAATTTATTGGAATCTTTAAGATACATATTTCTGTGAAATTTTATAACTATATGACGTCTGTAAGAGTAAATAATAGCACAGTCCACGTAATTTTTGAACGGCCCTCGTACTGCGACACGGGACCTCGGTTTATACAGTCTCGTCCAAATCACTTGTCTCCACGTCCCACGGTGGGTATCGAATCCCCGACGTAAATACGTAGCGGGACTCCTTACTTCGCGACTTTAGAGCAGACCTCTTACCACGCGGGCTATAACCCTCTCGTACTTTCTAACCCTATTGCACTCTTTCTAAACGTATAAATTAGTCGCCACATGGCTCGAAATCGTGTAGTAAAAAGTTGATCCTATATACGCGGGATGATAGGTTTATTCCAGTGTCGCAGAAGGTGATAGCACGAAAAAGATCCCTCACCGCTCAATGGCCCTCAGTGCCGGTCAAAAATTGCAACTCTCCGCCGGAAAGTGGAGGCGTCTCCATATGAGTGAGAAATTCTCGAGAGTGACATACATACAAACTTTTCTTACAAAATAATATACAAGTAAAAGTTACTGTAAATCTGATACGGTGTATCCTGATTTATTTGGACGAGGGGCGGTGACGAGTGCAGTTTTTGGTGGCTCCAGTGTATCTAAAGTTATTTTACAGGCAAAGTCAGCCCCCCCACACTTTTGGTTGCAGTATTGTCATATAAGGGTAATTTATAGGGATAGGTATCGCCAAAAATTTCGTATTGCGATAAATCACGATTTTTTCCCAGGATATCATGATAATATGATATTTTTAAAAGCAGTTTTTACATTGATTTTGTATGAAAAGTCATTATTTTTGTAAAAAAATATGCTATAAAAACAAAATTTTATGTTCTTGAAATTTTTATGTATATAAAATCAATTATGTTTGGACGGTAAGATCTCGTTCTTTTCACTTTACACAATTTTTATACTTTCTGTAATTGTAATTTAAAAGATTGAACAAATAAATGAATAATTTCTGGACTTTATAATATGTACCTAAAAACCGGTATTTAGGTATCCGTATCACGATACGTATCACGCAACAAAAAATCGCGATATACCGGTATACCGATAAAATCACACATCCCTAGTAATTTAAGGGTTAAAAAATTGGTAGTTAAAGAAGTTGGAACCTACCTAACATCCCTCCTATAGGATTTTCGAGTTTGGAACTTTGGACATCCCTTCTTTTTCAATTTTTTTCTTCAGGTAAGTTGTAACATCCCCCCCAATCTTGTCAAAAACGATGCTACGTCACTGTTGTACACTTTATTTGTAAGGTAAAACACCACAGCCTTGATATAATCAAAGTACTCAGAAGTACAGAGAGCCGGGCTCATTTACAGAGTAAAATGAATTTCTTACATGAATCATACGTTTATATTGTATTAACAGATAAATAACAAGAATATCAGATTAAAAATTCTGAAAAAAATTATTTTAAAACTAGCAATATAAATTATAAGACACTGACAGTAAGTTTTCGATCCAAATACCACGGTCTGATTTTGTCAGAATCAAAATTAATCTGACTTAAGGCTGAAGTTTTCAAAGTCATTACTACTAATGTTTATTTATTTAGATAAAACTTCGTTTTATTTATGTTGCTTTATTTAGCGTTTGTATTATCTCAGAAGCGGTTGAGAGTAAGAACTATATTTTTACACGTAACTTTAAAATGGCGACTATGGGGTTGACATTCTGTCTTGAACAGGATGACATAAGCCGGCAATTGTTCTTTGAGCAATAAGCCCGGCTAAAAAGTATTCTTATTTCAAGAATTATCTTTAGAAACGCGCTATTATCATTATGACATTTTCGGAAGGAAATTTTAAAGCGCTTAAACAGTAAAAAGAAAAAAAAAGTTCTCACCAAGTATGCTTATTAATAATCAATATTTAAAAAAAAAAAATAACGCGCACGCACCCGACTTATTAACAGAATGTACGTCGCCCCTGTTGCCATTATTTATATTTTTAAATACCTGGTATCCCCAGCGTAGTTCCGTAAAGGCAGTGTTTGTTGACATTGAACCTATAAATAGGTCATGAGAGACCGCCGTCATGTGACAACTTTCTCTTTCAGCTGTACAGTCCATTTACATGTTACACGATGGGATGTTGCTTTTCTAGTGAGGTATGTACAGTGTCACACACATAACAACACACTTTCGTTATTTGCATGTACCATGTACATACATTTTGACATAAATGTTGAAATTAAGGATAAGCTTTCTACACTCTTAATGTGTAAACAATCAGTCGGCAATACAGGTATATGGATAGAGCATGCGCGGATCTCGGGGATGGGGGTCCGAAACCCCTGGACTGTTATTAAATGTTTTAAGAAAAATGTAACGATAAAATGACCTTTCACCTCCTTTGGAAATACTAAACCCTGTAAAATCAGAAGAAGTGTAATGTACATGCGATAAAGAAAACAAACTTGTAGGAAAGTGTACCAGCTCTTCTAACCTGTCCCCTTGTTTAATGTTTATCCTCATTTTTTTCAATTTTGAAGTTAATTTTCTTTTTTGTTTGTGGCTTGAAAAAAAATTCTAAGTCCGAGTTGATTTGGACCCCCCCCCCCAACTCCTTTGTGAAAAATTTTAATTTCCGCCTGACGAAGGGGAAAATAGACATAAAGGTTTTGTGACTTTGACAGTAAGTATACAATTGGTCGATACATTATTAGCAGGGTTTGTTCCCGGAATAGGATACAAGAACACTCGAAAGTCAAGAGTAAAGATGTATCTTTCACATACACTTAGAAGGCTATAAGCTAAAAGTAATCAACCTGATATTAAACAGAACATTAATAATATTGAGAAATTATGCCTAGTCTTCAATTCCTTTAAAATGAGGAATATTTTACGCATGTATTTCATCTCCATTAAAATACAGTCGTAACTATGTACATGTACGCCGTCCTTGCGTGACTGTTTGAGATGACGAGTTAAATTCTTCTACATGAATTTCTTTTTGTAAGGATCGGACAGCACCATGTTTTCTTCCTGTTTCTCCTTCTATTTGTCGGCTTACCAAGGTTTTAATACTTGGCTTACGAAGAAACGACCCTATAATAGTTTTGGCCTTCTTTTTTATTTTTTAAAAAAACCTCAACATTGTTTCACAATGATTTCATGATGAATTAAGACATAAAATTCATATGAAAATAGTATACAGTTATGGAATGGGTACGAGGGAAATAGCAAATTTATGGTACCCCTCGGCAGGAAAATATTTCCTCCCTCGGGGAACCATAAATTTGCTATTTCCCTTGTACCCATTCCATAACTGTTTTATTATACCGAAACAATCATAGGCGATTAAAATTTTTTTTTACCAGATATTCCGACATTTAAAAAAAAAACACTGTAGAGGCATTACAAATGCATGTGGTTTAACAGATTGTATGATAAGTAATGCATCGTGTCCTAAAACAATTAAATTATCTTTAAAAAGTATTTTTACTGACATTTCGAAGAATTATCGTTGTCTTCATTTTGCTAGAATTCAAGTATGATTTTTACATCACTTGTCGCAATGTTTTGACGTCAAAGTTACATTTGCTAATATTAAACATAACGTCACAGACTCGAGATTCCTTGAACGCTCCGCCCACTGAACACTTTGATTGGTTAGAATTACTAATAAATATTCATGAGGGGGTAGTCCCAGGGAGTAGCTCTGATCTTCCAGGGAGTGGTCTTCAGATGAGGGAAATAGTCTCTTCTCGGGGAAATAGACAGTTTTATGGTATTAATTTTATATAGAGTAATTACAGTAGAGGTATAATAATATGACGTATGAAGCGGTACTTTTTTTCAGAATAGCATGAGTAGGAATTTATTATCCCAACCTATTTCATTTATGAGATATGAAGATTACGATCAATAATCAGGTCCAATAACCAAAATCAATTAAAGCAATACAAATCAGGAGCAAAGCAAGCACGGACCCTTAAAACATCAGAGGTGGGATCAGGTGCCATGTAGGAGTGAACATTCCACCACGTGCTTCTTGTCATGATCAGATAAACGGAAAAATCCGTAGACAATGAAATATGAAAATATATTGTATTTAACTTATAATTCTTTGAAAACGTCAATCAAAATTCGACTTGATATTACTGTATATATACTGTATGTGCTGACAGGGTCTTTATATCGACCGTATAGAATTTGCGAAATATTGATTTTAAACATTTCCTCAACTTACTTGTCAGAAGTTTGTGTCGTTTCAGAAATTGTTCGAACGTAGAATATGCTCTTTCTTTTCAAATCAACTGGGAGACATATAGGTGATAATAAACATATATCATATAGCTTTGAGGCTGACATACCAGAATATTGGTCCCTAGGTGAAGGGAAGCCCTGGAGTGTTATGTTACCTGATGCCGAAGGCAGAGGATTACATAACACTCCAGGGCTTTCCTGTCACCGAGGGGCAAATATTCAGTTATAGTCACCCGCGAAGCCATATGATATATGTTATTTAACATTTTTATAATTCAAAAATCGTTAAAGTTTAGGCGAATAATCCAAGATGTTCGCGGACAAAACTGAAGCCAAATGTTCCCGATCTGTGATCCATTATTATACCCCCCGCTTGAAAAGTGGGGGTATATAGTAATCGGGATTTCCGTCCGTCCATCCGTCCGTCTGTCTGTACGTCCGTCCGTCTGTTACGCTTTATCTCTTATCCGCAACTCCTCTTATACTACTGAGTGAAATTTAATGAAACTTTCACAGAATCTTTATTATATATTGCCATTGTGCACCTCCTATTTTACTTTTTTATTCCACACGTATTTTAGGTTTCCCATAGCAAAAACATGGACATGGCCATTATATCTTTACCTATGACGTCATATGTATAGAAGCTTCTGGATAACATTTGAAAGGACGAGTTAATCCTCTTTACACATTACCGTAAAACAATATATGGCAACACATGGACATTATGGGAGGCGGGGGGTATCATTTAGTGAGCTCATTGCTCACAGTACCTCTAGTTTTCTTTTAAATAAGTCACAGAACTTTGAGACTCTAAATAAATGGTACACGTTTCTTATCTTTATTTATTTTTTCAGAATGAAGAAACCAATCCGAAGACCCCGTTGATTAAGGATAATAAAGGGGGCGGATCTCCGTATACTAGTCCTTCAACGCAAACAGCGCCATCTGCCAGGAAGTACAAAGCACAGGATCCGCCCCCAGAGAAGGACTTTTGTAAGTGACGTTATGCATTTATCTGTATTTATGTATCATATCAAACATTTTATAACAAGATATTTTATTCTAATGAATAATCTTTTGTTTAATTAATTAGTAACTTCCATCGATTTGTTGGCAACAGCTGATATGAAGAACATTACGATTCCTTCGCTAAATAAGACTTTTCAGGTTTGTGTATTTAATTCTTGGATGCATGATGATATAAACAAGCTTCTATGGATATTAATACAGAACTTTTTTATTTGATAATTTGATAAGCTCACTTAGATGCTTCTCATCCAATGACAGTTATTCAGATTCGAAGTTATTTTGATTTATTTTATATTATCACAGGATCAGGGAAAAGTATTTGATGAAATATTCCAGCAGTTTCAGAATATGAGAGAAAGCTTAAACAACTTCAAATCACATTTTACTGTTGAAACAGATGGCATACCTGTACTTTCAAGGTGTATGCAGATACTAACTCAGAGGTGTGGTAAGTATAATCTGACTACAATGCGACTAATGACATACCTGCAGTGTGTGTAAGTAGATACTTACACAAAGGTGTAATAAGCATAATCTGACTACAGTAGTGTATTTCATTGAGGTGTTTATTCTTGCTTTCTGAACAATGTCCTTACTTATTGGCCAACCTTGTCAAAGCTGGCTGTTTGATAGGCGGAGATAAATTAAAGAGGCACGAAATGTTGTCAATAGATTTTAATATTTGTGTTCTATTTATTCAAAGAGAAACTCTACAGTCATAAACATCAGGGATCTATAAAAACTCTTTCTATATAGGAGGTGAACATCAAAAACTACATAATTGGGGCTATTGAGAGTTGAAAACCTCTAATTAGATTTTTTGGTAATGGGTATCAGTTTCAGTTGTATTCGCTCAAACCATGCAGCATGGTACACTAGAGTATAAATGTATTAAATCGTCAGAGAAGTTATAAGTACCGCCTACTGCAATTCGATTGCACGACGGTTTCTCAAATCTGTCTTGCTCATATGGTTTGATAAACCTTAAACTTTATTTTCAACCAATCAGCATCCACGAAGACGGTCAATGAAAGAAAATCTTAGGAAAGAACGAAAGAAAGCTTGGAATCTTACGTCTTACGAAAAGAAGCATTGTAATTATAGCTGAACACGATTCGTAAAAGGAATCATCTTCCCAAGTCAAGGGTATTTGATCTGCTCCGTCCCACAAGTGAAGCAGATCGTATTAAAAACCCTTTACTTGAGAATGTGTCCGCCATATTCGACTGGACTTTCGCTATATCTGAGGACCCCTATACTTAGAGCCGATCACTTGGTCACTGTTCATTGTAATCAGTGATGTAGACGGACGTTCGCTATACAGCACTCTGTAGCGATAAAAAAATAACTCTGTACTTCTTCTAATGAAGGAAAGAAAGATACCAAAGAAACAGACAACAGTTGCACAGGTCAGTGCAGTATACAAAACCAAAAAGGAAGAGACATAAATACGATTAACACCAATAATGTAAATAAATGTAATGCAAGTTAACCACCACGAACACGGGTCGCCATTTCAAGCCGAAATCCTTGACAATTAAGCAGTCAGGTGTGACAATAAAGAAGTCAGGTGTGACAATCAAGCAGTCAGGTGTGACAATCAAGCAGTCAGGTGTAATGAATGCGAAGAGTATACCCTGGTGCTGATATCTTAGATAGTATTATCGAAAATGGCGTATGCCTATTTATTAGTCGTGTTCAGCTTTTTTTTTTTTTTTAAAAACACACAAAGATGACATAACTATGGTGTGTGTATCATTGGCGGATCCAGAGGGGGGGGGGGGGGTTCCGGGGGTTGGAACCCCCCCAATTTATTTTTTGCCAAGTGGAGAAAGAAAGAGAGAGAGAGAGAGAGAGAAACAACGTTATCTGAGAAAAAATATTTATACGTCTAACTTATGCATTGAATAGACTCCCACATATTTAGTTTCCTCCATTCACCTTCATTATTACTTTTTATTAGCGAGTGGTAGAAAATATTCTACTTATTTTTATATACACTGTATCTTATATATGTGATATGTAACATGCGAAGTTGAATTTGATATGATATTCCCGCGATCTTTGGCTGTGTTGGCTATATATATGTACCCTTTTTAATCATATCTTTTGAAGGAACTAACATAAAACTCTTTTTTAAAACCCCACCCTGCATGAATCTTACCCCCCCCCCCCCCCCCCAATTTTTTTTTCAAATTCTAAAAGATAATTCTTTTTACTCTAATTCGGAAATGCTGCAGATCCATTAATTTTGTAAGGCTTCATTATGTTTTGAAATGAGTTTGTTTTTTATTCTGACTTGGGGTACCTTTTCAAAAAAAAAAAGGATTGAACAAAGATATTATTTACCACAAAATAAGATATTTCAATACGTGTGTTGTGTGTGTGAATTATTGCTTGAGAGTGTGTATGGGGGGGGGGTTAGAGGAAATTTTGATATTTCAATTTACTAAAAATAAATAATTCTCTCCCCCCCCTACAAGAGTTTTAAAAATTGCTGGATCCGCCCCTGTGTATGTACATAGTTAAAGTAGATACTTAATATACAGCGATGTGACTGGTGAAATTTGACTTGAGTACGACTGATTACACACCTGTACTGTGTGTATAAAGATAATAACAGTACATCAGTAACCTGACAACAGTACGACTGATGACACACCTGTATTGTGTGTATGAAATAATAACACAGAACACTAGTAACCTGACTACAGTACGACTGATTACATACCTGTACTGTGTGTATGTAGATAATAACACAGTACACTAGAAACTTGACTACAGTACGACTGATGACACACCTGTACTGTGTGTATGAAGATAATAACACAGCACACTAGTAACCTGACTACAGTACGACTGATTACATACCTGTACTGTGTGAATGTAGATAATAACACAGTACACTAGAAACTTGACTACAGTACGACTGATGACACACCTGTACTGTGTGTATGTAGATACTATACCAGTACAATCAGACTTTAGTACGACTGATGACATAAACCTGTACTGTGTGTATGTAGATATTAACATAGTTTAATATATGACTACAGTACGACTGATGACATATCTGTACTGTGTGTATATAGTTACTGACACAGTACAATATGACTACAATACGATTGATGACATACCTGTACTGTCTGTATGTATACCTGACTACAGTACGACTGATGACATATACCTGTATTGTGTATATGTAGCTATACACTGTACTTACACAGGAATTTGGTTAGTATATAATCTGACTACGGCTCTCATTGGTACTAATGCTGAGAGGGAGCCAAGAATAAATTTACATAATGTAAAAAATATATATATTGACGTTCGTTCCAAGTCAGTGAAATCTACATTTTTTCTGAAAGCTTTAAACCAACTGAAAAATCATTCTCGCAGCCAGGGGTCCTGAGTCAACCGTGGGCGCCTGGCAATTTGTTTGTTGCTGATTGTAGTGACGTCTTTCGGTAATTACAAATCTTGATTGTTTTTTTTTCATATCTAACCAATCACATTAATCCATTCTATGATATGAGGACTAATGTAGGTTGTTTATATGTGAATATAGCAAGTATGATTTTAAATTATCAATTTTCAATGACAAATTAAAAATGATTTTTCCAAGAAAATGTATGCAGTTCAGTTGGGAGGGGGGAATATGAAACAGGATTTGTTTAAAGCGCCTTAGTGAAAGTACCAAATATGAATTCAAGTCGGATTCTTAACAATCTCTGATCAATTCATTCATTACACATTTTAAAATGTTTATCATACACTGAAAAGCTTATTTTTCTAAGCTATATATTAAAGGTGGCAAAGATTTGTGCTTGCGCCGGAAGGTCAGCAAGCATACCCTAAAAATGGCACCAACCTGTATAAATGTTGTATATATAATAATTGTTTTCTAGATAGCATTTCAACGAGCTGTTCTCTGCTTTATTTATTGCTTGTACCAAAAAAAGTAATGGAAATAAATAATTGTTATTCTTACATTTTTAAAAAAAATTGTTTTATGAATTTTAAGACAAAACAGTACATTTTTTATCGTTCACAAATATCACGACTCTTATGCTAATACCCTCTCCCCGTTAAGTTTTTAACACGAAGCAAATCAGATTACAAGATTTTAATTTCTGATACTGTGTTTGTTTTCACAAATTATAATATAAACGTAAACATTAAGAGATAAGACCGTATCAAATTTATGGAAAGTTAAAGCGTTAAACAGTGGGTTTGGCGAGTATATTGATTTTAGAGATTAAAAGTACAAAAAAGTACTCCCGGAAAATTATGCAGGGCTGTATATCTGACCAAATAAAAGTTCTCGTTTAAGTCCGAAGTACCTTTAATTTGCCACGACTTTTAACAAGAGTAAAAAATCATCTCTCATTAAAAAGAAAAGATGGCATGGTTGAATTGTGATCTCAGTACAAATTTATGGAGACAAATTTATTTAAAAATACGATAAAACGAGAAACCTTTTTAAGAAATTCAATTTAAATTTGCAATTTATGTTATCAGTTAACCCATCACCTTAGTAGTTAACCTTATTAGTTAACCTATCACCTTATCAGTTAACCTTATTAGTTAACCTATCACGTTACCGGTATTATATTATCAGTTAATTATCACTTTTTCAGTTAACCTATCACCTTATTAGTCAACCTATCACCTTATTAGTTAACCTTTCACCTTATTAGTTAACCTATCAAATTATTAGTTAACTTATCAAATTATTAGATAACAAATCACCTATTTCTTCCTCATACTTTTTATTTAATGAACTTTTAAATTGGGCGGAAACATCAATATTAGAATGGTGACTTTCAGACATGTACGTGACGCTGTGGTATTGTATCATCGCTGTATTTTACCCAGGAATTGACCGATAATTATTGTTTGCTGCTTCTAAAATACGTAAACCTAACAAAATAAACATAAAATAGAGAATGAAGTCAATCCCCATCTAGTAGCTAATGAAAATTAATCACTGACAAACAGACGGACATGATGTTTTTGTTTGAGTACATTGTAGAGGGAAGTAAAAATAGTTGCATGAATGTGAAAAACTAAACTTGAATTTACTAAATACGATACAAAGGTTAAAGGCAAATATTACGTTTCACCGACATTCCTTTTTGGTTAATATCTATAGAGAACAGAGCAACTTTGTAATTGCTTACAAGGTTTTGCCAATTAACAAACCAAAAGTTAATTAAATTAAAAAAGAAATTAATAAAAAGATTGTTTTTGCAGGGAATTGTAAATTAACGGTAGAAAGACGGAAATACAGCGTTGTGATTGTGTACGAGAACCAAGATGTTATGCGTAACAGCACAACGAATCCCCAACAAGTCCTCGACTGCTTACAACTATTTAACTCATTCAACAAAAATATTCAGAAAATTTTGGAAAGAGCACCAGAAGTAGAAAATTCCGCCAAAATTCTTCTGGATGACGAAGATAATATGCGAAAGGAAGTGACGAAAGCCGATTTGGCGGGAACGGAGGGACCGGAAGCCATGAAGAGGTGTAATGAGAACATTCATAAACTGAGAAAGATGAACAGTCATCTGAAAACTATTAAAAGTCACACAGAACGAACTATGAAGGAGGTGATAGAGGCCTCCAAAGCTTTGTTCAATGAGACAAATCCATAGTGTATACATGTCAAGATTGACGAATTGTTATCGTATGTATTTGATTATTTTTTTTTTTCTGTTGTGTTCTTGAATACATGAATATTTTTTATATTTGTATTTCGTATTGCGTTTTTTCTGATTCTGCAACAGACAGCTACGAACAAAGAGATAACAAGCAAATTCAAAGAATTGTGGTCCCCCGCTTTCGGTGTCTTTTTGGTGGGATGTCATTTGTTGTGACATATTGTGTCAAATCTTGTCATAGGTAATGCACATTTCAGATATGAAAGCCCTATCTCTTCTCAATCAAATGTTATAAGGAAACCTGATAAACCCATATGGCAAAATAGCGAAGATTCAACTTTTCTTAAATGCAAATTAAATATATATTAGTAGTTTCTTAATAAAGGTCTCGCCACAAGTATTACATACGTGAAGTATGAAAGTCCTTGCCCGAACCATACAAAAGTTATGGCCAATGTTAAAGTTTTTAAAAAGTAGGACAAACTCAAAGGTCAAGGTCAAAGAGTCAAAGTTCTTTATATCTAATGAAAGGTCTTGCCACAAGTATTACATAATTATGTGAAGTATGTAAACCCTTGCCCGAACCGTTAAAATGTTATGGCCAAGGTTAAAGGTTTTAAAAAGAAGGTCACAATCCAAGGTCAAAGGGTAAAAGTTGTTTGTATCCAATGAAAGGTCTCCTCACAAGGATTACATACGTGAAGTATGAAAGCCCTAGCCCATACCGTTCAAAAGTTATGGACAACGTTAAAGTTTTTTAGCTCACCTAGCCGAAGGCTCAAGTGAGCTTTTCTGATCACATTTTGTCCGTCGTCCGTCCGTCCGTCTGTAATCTTTTCACATTTTCGACTTCATCTCAAGAACCAATGGGCCAATTTTAACCAAACTTCGTACAAAGCATTCTTGGATGAAGGGGAGTTTAAATTGTTAGGATGAAGGGCAAAGTCTTGTTACAAAGGGAGATAATCAAGAAAAGACAAAAATAGGGTGAGGTCATTAAAAAATCTTCTAAAGAACCACTGGGCCAGGAAAGCTGAAACTTAAGTGGAAGCATCCTTTGGTAGTGTAGATTTTAAATTGTTAAAATCATGATCCCCAGGGGTAGGGCGGGGCCACAATAGGGAATCCAAGTTTTACACAGAAATATATAGGAAAAATATTTAAAAATCTTCTTCTAAAGAACCACTGGGCCAGAAAAGCTAAAACTTATGTGGAAGCATCTTTGGGTAGTGTAGATTTTAAATTGTTAAAATCATGACCCCTGGGGGTAGGACGGGGCCACAATAGGGATTCCAATTTTAACATAGAAATATATAGAAAAAATCTTTGAAAATCTTCTTCTCAAGAACCACTGGGCCAGGAAAGCTGAAACTTATATAGAAGCATCCTTGGGTAGTGTTAATTTTATAGTGTTAAAATAAAGACCCCAGGGGATAGGGCAGGGCCACAATAGGGAATCCAAGTTTTACATAGAAATATATAGGAAAAATCTTTAAGAATCTTCTTCTCAAGAACCACTGGGCCAGGAAAGCTGAACCTTATTTGGAAGCATCCTTGGGTAGTATAGATTTTAAATTGTTAAAATCATGACAGGGGAGGGAGTAGGGAGCCATGATAGGTATAACAAGATGGGGAATTTGGCAAAGAACTGCATCACTCAAGTTACTCAGGTGAGCGATGTGGCCCATGGGCCTCTTGTTTTTATAAGTACGGAAATCGTCAAGGTCAAAAGGTCAAGGTTGTTGGTATTCAATGAAAGATCTTGCCACAAAGAATACATATGTGAAATATGAACGCCCAAGTATCTACCATTCAAAAGTTATGGCCAAAGTAACAGTTTGGAATTTTTGTGTAAAAGTGGGTCCAACTCCAAGGTCAGGTCAAATTTGTGGTACCCAAAGAAAGGTCTTGTCACTAGGAATACACATGTGAAATACGAAAGCCATAGCTCCACTAAATCAAAAGTTATGAGCACGGTTAAAATTTTTTTGGGTGAACAGATGAACGGATGAACAGAAGAATGAGATTTAATGTCCCCTCGCTTTCGCGAAAGCGAGGGACAAAAACCATTTCCCAGTACGGTGGGAAGTACGTGTAATTCTTGTTCTGTATTGGGGAATATTGAGAAATGCAGAACAGCTATGTTTCTTTTATTAAGATATATATGTTGGACTATGGACAGGTAGTAAATATCGTTAAGCTATCTAATTACCGTCTCTGTGTTAATGATTTCTTGCTACTTTGTAATGCATCCCCCTAAAAGTAGCCTGCGTGGCACTGTGGTTAGAGCGTCTGCTTTAGACCGATTTGCATGCTCTGCTTTTTGCAGCTTAAGGATGAGTTTTTCAAAGTGTCCAAGTTTTCGCCAGAGTTTTTCAAAGTGACAAAGTTTTCGCCAGAGTTTTTCAAAGTGTCAAAGTTTTCGATAAAGTTTTTCAAAGTGTCAAAGTGATCACTATAGTAAACCAAGGTTTTCATAGTGTCAAAGTTATAACTATAGTTAACTATAGTTAACTGTAGTAAACTATAGTTAACTATAGTTAACTATAGTATTTTTTTGTTAGGGACTGCTCAATGCATTGGCCTGAGTTCAGAATATAGGTATAAATTTGAGGGGCCTCCACCGGCAAGTGATGGCATCTCCATATGTGTGAAAAATTCTCGAGAGGTACCTAAATCGATAATCAAACAAACACACAATGAAGCGTTAATAGAAAAACATGTGTATCACAACTGACTGAAAATTCAGTATATATACTTTTTCCATAATGGTCCTATCTAGATAATGATACTAGTAGTCAAACTAAACAATAACGAGCTATAATCAAATCATTAAAGAACCAACCCTATCGCTTTGAGCTTATCCCTGTAGCTGCAGACTGAGTCGTTTAACCAAAAATTCTGTTGTTTCCCGTCACAGCCTGCAACTACCCCAAAACACACCTAAAAAAGTCACTAAGACACCTCCATTATTTTTAAACTCTTCAAAACCAAAGCTAGTCAAAAAAGTGAAATACGTCCTGCATCACACGTTTGTATCGCTCGTAAATGACGTCTTAAAGTGTATATGAAAACAACATCTTAAAACGTTGTCACAACAGACAGCTACGAAAACAGCTCAACACGCCCCTGTCACGTCATGGACATTCAAACAAGACAGAATCATAATGATAATCCTAAAAAGTGTCACTCTCATCTTTGATATCTAGGGTCAGGTTCATTATTACTGTCATTATGGATGTTCCATTCTAGGTCGAAATAGTTTCTGAAGTAGAACAGAAGTTTGTATTCTGATTTTTTCATAGCCATCTTCAACAATACCTGCACGGATAACAAATATGGGAAATTATTTTTGTTAGTGTTTTGCTACAAGAAATATTCATGACACTTAAATACCTCTTTCAACCATTCACGAATCTCTTTTTTGGACCTCCTCAAAGGTTGTTTCTCGTGGCTTTATGTTAGCCAAGACAATTCATTCACTAAGATATTAACAGTAGTGAAGGAGAAACTTCAAGAGTACTGTGCAACAATATATTCAAGAAGTGGTGTAAATCAGATGTGGATACTTAAGAATTCCAAGGAAATTTTGGACAATTTGAAATCACAAGATTTCACCAAAATCAACAGTTTAAAAACTTACTACCTTCCAACTTTATACACAACCATTCCCCACGATAAATTAAAGTCCAGGCTTTTTGATATCGATCATTGACAGTTGCTTTTTCAATGAAAATGGAACTCGTAAATTAACTTACCTTGTCATTGGTCATTAAAAAATCATTCCGATTGTACACATAAGTACTCTGAAGTAAACATGAAAAAAGATGCTTGAGTTTCTGATTGACAATATCTATGTCGTTTTTGGAGACCAGGTCTTCAAACAATCTATTGGAATTCCCATGGGTACCAATTGCGCCCCGTTATTAGCAGACCTATTTTTGTCTTTATATGAAGAAGAATTTGTTCAAAATCTTCTGCGGGAAAAGAAGAGATTACTTGCTGTGGCCTTCAACTCGACATTTAGGTATATCGACGACATACTGGCAATTAATGATGGTGACTTCCATTATGTCGATACGATATATCCTAGTGAGCTTGAGATAAAAGATACCACAGAGTCTGACACATCTGTTTCGTATTTGGATATTTTACTTGAAAAAGACGTTAATGGTTATCTAACAACGAAGCTCTAGGATAAACGCGATGACTTTAACTTTCTCTATCGTCAACTTCCCTTTCCTATGCAGCAATATACCTTCATCACCTGCATACGGAGTTTATATATCTCAGTTGATTCGATACGCAAGAGTATGCTCTACATATGAACAATTTCTAAAATGAGGTAAATTATTGACAAGCAAGATGATGAAACAAGAATCTCTGCTGTCTCGTTTAAAGTCGTCATTTCGTAAGGTCTAAGGTCGATACAATGACCCGGTCAGCAAACACAATTTATCATTGTTTTTGTGTTACTTAGATTTTGTTTCTTCTTCGATATATTTACATTTCCTAGATCTTTTATGCAGCTCAAAATAGGTAAGGAATCTTTTATTCTTTGTAAAATAGTGTCGATTGATTATTTCTGTCGCAGATATCAAGAAAAATACAAAACAAGTGATTTCAACCATAATCACCGATGCGTATCCAAGGTTGAAGCTCTTTCTCGGATTTGAAGAGTTATTCCATTTATTGCTTCTTCCTCACATAAAATCACATTTGCTATCTGCGATGAGTCTTGTGAATCAGAGTTCCTCATTTTATACTTACTCATAACTTCTCTTTGGAAATCAGTCGCCCGCGTGACGCAGTGGTTAGAGCGTCTTCTTTTGAGTCGCAAAGTTAGTGGTTGATCCTTACGTCGCGGGTTCGAATCCCAATGTAGAACGTGGAGACCGGTCCTTTGGATGAGACCATCTAAACCGAGGTCCCGTGGTGTCGCAGTAGGTGCTGGCGCGAAAAAGATCCCTCACCGAGTGCCGAGCAGAGAGCAAAATTTTCAGCTCTCTATCGGCAATAGCGGTGTCTCTATATGAGTAAAA